GTACACTACACAGTGATCGTATAAATGATCTCTGCGTAAATGAAGGTTCAGAAAACACCTTTAAGCTATTTGGTACGTTGGCAGGAACGGGTTTCTAGCAGACAGAAATTGGATGTAAGGCCACACTTAATCGCTTTCAGACATGCTGTATAACATCCAGCTCTGTAGCTCGGCTTTTTAAGAGGTGCTAATCACTGCGTATTTGATTTCATTAGTCTGCTTCACTTGACTTTTTCCTTCTGAACCAGCGTGTTAAAAGCCTTAAAACCAAAGCAAATCCTATTTATGCAACACATTTTTCTGTGTTTTTGTAATTGGATAGCTATAAAAATCTGTCCCTGCTAAAAGACATAATTTGTTCACAAGTTGTTCCTGTTGGTCTCTCGTTGCGTTTTCCAAGTGGCAGTACATAAAAATGTGCTACATTAGCACAGTTATGTATTTACAAAACGGGAAGCAGGGCGTTCTGAGAACAGATGTTTGGATATCACCAGGATGGGGAGATGTGTTTCTGTGGCGCTTTTGCAAACATCAGAAGTGGAACTGACTGTTCTGACACTGATTCAATCCATTAGGAGAGCATCTGAGATTACCTCCTGTGTTTACATGACCTTATTTCAGTTCTTCGTGTCGTAAATTAGGTCAGGAATCCTAACTGCGGTGGGTTAAGTTTCTATATCATAATATATCAACCCAAAAGGTGCTCTCCAGGGTAGGTTTTTTCACCAGCAGGGGAGAAAAGGCAGTAATTCTCAATTATGTGGCACCAGTGGAGAGGCAAAATGTACGTTTCTGGGAAAATGGTTAGCAATATATATTTTCACTGTAATAAAGACCGTGTTGGCATAGTGGTTTTGTGCCAACGTGTATGGCTATTTGAAATACAGCTCTGCGTTAAGGAGAACAGAAAAGCTGCACTCAGTGTTCTGGTGGAAAAGATGACATTTCCTAATGTGTTAAATCATGCGTATCACGTCTCTGAAGGCAGTGGATTAAACAAATACTTATGAAGGATGTCTTATCTTTCGCCTGTGAACTAATAATACGAACTCTGCCTTATCTGTTTATGAATTATATAAACTGTGCACCCCAGCAGCCTTATATAAATTATAATAAACCAGATAAGTCGATAAGAGCACAAAGTGCACACTAGGGTTGGGGTCATGCTGCAAAGTTTGAAACTGACTCATGGTTTTAAGCAGGCAGAAATCTGGGGAGTTTTAAGGCTCCACTGTCTGGATGCGGCCTGTTGGGGCAATGGGAGCTGTCTCTAATTGCAGAGTGCAGGACGGTCCTCTGAGCATCACAGACAAAATTGAATTTCTGTCCCAAAATGATGAGGAATGTAGGCTGGACTGCCTATGGCACAGGGAGGAAATGAGAGCCAAGAAAGGCTCTGGGCCATGACCTGTGCTGAGTAAGCCCAGAGAGCCAGCATGGCTTATAATTATTTATGAGTTAGTATGCACTGCGTATGAACCGAGGCCTTTTCTTCCTGGTGTGAATCAAAGCAATTAATTACAGCACGTGCAATGTGTAATTCCTTTTCACAGCAACAACCCAGCTCACAGATACTACCTCGCTACTGACCCCGTGACAGGAGATCTGTACGTTTCCGACACAAACACACGCAGGATCTACCGGCCCAGGTCACTCGCGGGTGCCAAAGACCTGACGAAGAACGCTGAGGTGGTCGGAGGGACAGGAGAGCAGTGCCTGCCCTTTGATGAAGCACGGTGTGGTGACGGGGGCAAGGCGGTTGAGGCAACTCTCATGAGCCCTAAAGGTAAACAGGAAGGGCATGATCATGCTTAATGCAGCAGCTGATACAAAAATGTGGTTTTGAATAATTTCTTCCAATGGGAAAGACCGCTGAGGAAGAGAGGTGCCAGAGAGCCAGGTTGATTTTATAGTCAATATTTGTCTTTCATGATTACTGAACGTTTTGAAATACTCATTTAGATTATGTGTTTGGCAAACAGTGGTAAAGTTTTAAAATCAGTGTTGCATGTGGTGCCACTTAACAGGTTTTCCAGGTTACCTTACATGCTCTCCAGTGAACAGCAAGTGCAGTCAGCACTATAGATTTCATACTGAACATTGCTTTGTTACGCAGAGTGAGTTTATGAGTTGGTTTACTACCCGTTGCCTAAGAACATCTTTCCTGCCCTAAATTTCCACACTGTACATCCCACTTATGCCCTCAGTTACTGATATTATAACAGCTGGTACAATAAACTAACTTTTATTGTCTTCATTGAAGGAATAGCAATTGACAAGAATGGGTTGATATACTTTGTCGATGGGACCATGATCAGAAAAGTGGATCAAAATGGAATAATATCCACGTTGCTTGGCTCCAATGACCTGACCTCAGCACGACCTCTGACCTGTGATACCAGCATGCACATCAGCCAGGTAAGTGGGAACTTATTTGGAGAGCTGAACTGGGGCTGCAGGTGCAAATGCAGCTTTCTTCAACCTCAAAATAAAACTGGGTGGAGTGTATAACAACTATTTGAGAGCAGAAGTTGTAGAGAAAGAAACCTGTTCCAAGGGCATGAGTTGCAGTGTGTTCTCTTAGCTATAAATGCTGCTGTATTCAATTTTTCTGCCCATAAAGTTCAGTTTAGTTTAGAACAGCAAAACCATCAGCAGGAAGCATTAAGTCTAGTAGTAAATACTGGAAGAATGGCAGATATGTTACAACTCTATTGTCACATTGATGCTTTCTGAATTACTAGCATCCTTAGCCCACCAGAGTGAATGAGACAATATATACAATAGAGTTTTGGGTTTTTTTTGTCTCAACAAGTTTATGTAGGTAAGAAGGGATGTCACTAGTGCTGTGTTTAAAAATGGAGTACAGTACCGTGTTTCAGACTGGAAGGCAGTAAGTTATGTTTGCTATGCAAGAATAAAAAATGAGTGCTGCCTATAAAGACTAGACTTTGATATCTATCTCTATTTGTATTTATGCACTGCTGATAAAGAAAAGTATAACATTTATTGGAGGGGAAATCTGACCTGTGTTACAGTTCCAACACTGCTGTTCTTTCAATAAAATAGGTATCCTGACATCCTTCCCTTTGCTCCCTTGAAAATCTTTCATTTGCTGCATATATTTTCATATAAGAATTCTCATCTGCACTGCTTACAGCAAATGAAAAAAATCTTCGTGGCATTATTCAAGCTGAAGGTGAATTTGTTTTGTTTCATCTGCACTGGTTAACTGTAATGAACCACTTCTCTCTGCTAAGGTTCGTCTGGAATGGCCGACAGATTTAGCCATCAACCCAATGGATAACTCCATTTACGTTCTGGACAACAACGTCGTTTTGCAGATCACTGAAAACCGCCAGGTGCGCATTGCTGCGGGGAGGCCCATGCACTGCCAGGTTCCTGGAGTAGAGTACACGGTGGGCAAGCACGCGGTGCAGACCACGCTGGAGTCTGCAACTGCCATTGCTGTGTCTTACAGTGGAGTACTGTACATTACAGAAACGGATGAGAAGAAGATTAACAGGATAAGGCAGGTTACAACTGATGGCGAGATCTCATTAGTTGCTGGAATACCTTCAGAGTGTGACTGCAAAAACGACGTCAACTGTGACTGTTACCAGAGTGGAGATGGCTATGCTAAGGATGCCAAACTTAATGCACCCTCCTCCTTAGCTGTGTCTCCGGACGGCACGCTGTACATTGCTGATCTGGGAAACATTAGGATACGGGCTGTGTCAAAGAACAGACCCTTACTGAATTCAGTGAACTTTTATGAAGTTGCTTCTCCAACCGATCAAGAGCTTTATATCTTCGATGTCAATGGTACTCACCAGTACACTGTGAGTTTGGTCACCGGAGACTATCTGTACAATTTTAGCTACAGTAATGACAATGATATTACCTCAGTCACGGACAGCAATGGGAACACTCTGCGGATCAGACGGGATCCCAACCGGATGCCAGTGAGAGTGGTCTCCCCTGATAACCAAGTCATCTGGCTGACAATAGGCACGAATGGGTGTTTGAAAAGCATGACTGCACAAGGACAGGAGCTTGTTTTATTTACCTACCATGGCAACAGTGGACTTCTGGCAACTAAAAGCGATGAAACGGGATGGACCACTTTTTTTGAGTAAGTACATAAAATAAAGCCCCACGCTTTATAGTTCTGTTGAGCTCTACAGTACCACTGCAATACTGCTGGGGACTGGTGAGGTAGCTGTAATGATAATGCTTGGTAACAAAACGCACACAGAGATGCTTTCAGTTTCCCAGCCTGTCTACATCTGTCTTACTCTAAGGATTGGGTCTGCATAATTTTAAATTCATTATCTCCAATTTCAGTTTTATACATTAGAATAATTGTGAGACAACATCTCACTCTTGTCAACAAAGCTGTAATTCAGACAACCATGATTCTGTAGATTTGCATCAAGAACTAAATTTCCATCCCTTTAGCTCATTAGATTGACACTGTTCTGCAGCAAATACTGACAAGAAATCTGCTTCACTGCCGAATATTTTTTCTTCAATTTTCTTAAAGCAACAGCACGCCTTGTGGTCTTTTACGCAGAAAAAAACTGGGTGTGGGCTTTTATTTTTGAAGTTGTGAAAGGTTGTGTTTCATTGAGTGGCAAGTATCTGAGAAATGTGAGCCCTGGGGGGAAGTGTCATTCCTGTAGGAAAAAAGGAGGACATGGAGACCACCAGCAGTGTGTGGTATGCACATGCAAACATAAGAGATACTAGACTTGTAATTTTACCAGCCTTGGAAAAATCTCTTATATTAAATGTTTTGCCCCATGTGACAGTCATTAAGACACCAATGCCTGTTTGCAATAGCCAGATTAGCAAAAAGTTTTACAGAATCCGCAGATGTATTGAAAGAGGAAGGTTGTGACAACGTGGTAGAACCTGACAGCCAGATACTGGCATTATAGGCAGCTTCATCCTCAAATGAATTGGACTACCAACTAATAAACCCAACAAAACAAAAATACAGCTTAAAATGCAATTTATTTCAGAAAAGATAGATATAAAATTAACAGACTTTTTTCAGTCATCTGTCAATTGGAAAATACATGTATACTTAAATCACCTGAAAGACAGATACTAAGGTTGGATAAAAATGTGCCTATGAAGATGCAGAGTTAGTATGATAAGTGAAAGTGTTCAAGGGCCCTCCATTGAAGTACTTGGGATTACAAAGGGCATCATGAAAATCCTTTTCCCCCCCCCCCCCCCTTCTTTTCTTCTATCTTTTAGATGAAAAGCAGTAGCAACTGCTGCCAAGGTCAGGGCCAAAAAAAAGCTTTCAATTCAACACACATGATAAAGAAAATAAAGTGCTGGTGTCAGGCAGTGGCAGCAAAGCCAAACATCTGTGTTCTGAGATAACTTCACGTTTCTGTCAGTGCGCATTTGGCTGACGCAGTGTGTGGGAAGGCTCTGAGCACCTGTATCTACTCTCCAACCTTTACATGTGCCCATCAGAGACACGAGAGCAGCAGGTGTTGCTTCACTGCATATTGTGTCCTGAAGTGGAGACACGGCTAGAAATGCTGATCCCTACCAGAGACAGCAGGTGGAATGGCATCGCTGCCAGTTTTAAGGTATTCTTACAGTAATCTGTAAATTGGCAGGGCTTGGGGAGTGGGCATGTTACCAAAGCATTAGCTCATGCCTGTAATATTTAATGGTGCATTTGTGCATCGCTGCACATTTTTTTAGGTCCTGGCAGGAGGACACAGAAGCACAGCGAGGATACATAGGAATGAAAAGCTGTTCAGTGGGGAGGGCGCATATTCTGTCCTGCAAGTTACCTGTGCCCTATACGCTCAGAGACCAAAGCACAGCTTAGGATGGGCTGTGAATACTCCTCCATTTCCACACAGTACACCAAGTGTTTCACTGTGACACACAGAAACCACCTGTTTCCAGTGTGCGAGTTGGGAAAGGCAGGCGGTTTGGGGACAGTGAAGTCCCTTACTGAAATTAAGGCATCTGTTGGGTACAGCAGGCACTTCAGATCATGCTGGTGTGCATACTGGATAATTGAGGAGCCAGAGTTCTAATCAGGGCAGTAATTTCTCACCGTGAGTGTGTGGTTTTTGTGTGCCTACTATAGTGCACTGCTGATGGCCCCTGAATGTGCCTTAATAGCATCAGCAAGATTGCAAAAGGGGTAGATTTTATGTTCACTAGTAAATGTTTTATAGGTCTGTATTTTTCATCACAGGAAGAACTTAGGGTACTGCATGTCAAGAAATACATAGTTATTTACTGAGTCTCTAAGCAGCCATCTTTCGCATCTGATCTGTTTTCATTTTGATTTCCTGGTCGGTGTTAGGTCCGTCCAGCTGGCTTATGCAGAGCCCAAAGGGCAGACCGTTCCCCTCAGAAAGTATCAGTATCATTTCCAAGCTCTGCTTATGTACTTCCTAAATACCTCAGACCAGAGTCTCACTGGAAGACTCAAGCCAAAATAATAACAGTGAGAGCTAAGCAGTTCTACTCACCCCAAATCCAAGGCTGTCTGAGGCTTTTGCAGAAGTAAAGATATTAATCTCCTCCCCATATCTGTGGCAAATTAAAATTCTGTTTAATTGCAACAAGGAAGAGTCAGATTAGACACTTGGAGAAACTTGTTGGTGAAGGCTGAGGAGCCCTGGGGCGGACAGAAGTGACCCCTTACCCTGTGCAGGCTGTCCTTAAGAGCAGATTAGACATCTTTGAGGACTAACTTAGGAAGAACAGATCCTGCCTTGGGGTAGGGGCTGCATCATCTGACCTCTCAAGGTCCCTTGCAGTCATGTTTTCTGTGATGCTCCATACGAGTTAATACCAAAAATAAAAAATTGTGCTGATTATGTAAAGCTACAGGGAATAAGTGGGAGAAAAAAAAAAAAGCACCGAGTTATTTTTCTTGCCAGAGCAGCACTCTCGAAAACATCCATCGGGCATCGCAGCTGCTTTTTTGCTTTTTGGGTTTTTTTTTTTGGTGTTCTTTTTTTTTTTCTGACATAAAATCCCCATACACTAAATTTATGTCTGTGTACTTCCCTTTTGAAGAAAAAGCAGATATAAACAAGCCCATTCTGACATCTCTTATTCTAGGAGCAACAAACGTTGTTTTGACTTTGCTTTTCAGTGCTGATGATTTGTAATAGTAAATCTGACTTCGGCAGCCCTTCCAGAGCCTTCTGCAACCACTGCCAAAATGGAAACTAGGCTTATTGCATCAGGGCTTGCATTGGGGTGACACAGTGCACTTGTGTGCGTGTGTCTCAGTCCCAGCTTTTGCATATTCATGTTGGTAGGCAGCGTGGGCTAAAACGTATGCAGCTGAACGCTTCTCTCCTGAATAAAATGAACGCCTGGTAAAACAGAAAGGTTTCCCTAGGATGCCTGGCTAGGAATAAGAAATTAGGAGAAGAAATCTTTCAGACTTTCTTATTCTATTTTAGTAACAGCAAAATATTTCAGTTTCATTGCTGGATACATTTTCTTTTAATATAGGAATTTATGTATTTTATATACTTTATTCATTCTATATTGTTACTCAGCTTCTCAAAATATTTTGAGGAGGCAACAAAGTTTATATTCCGTGGTGAATTCAGACTTTCTTCCAACTCAGAGGCAAAACTTCTCAACTGTCAGAACATGGAATAGAGATGGCATTTTTCAGCTCTCACTCTGGCTTGGCTGTTTCACCATTTGGTCGTCCTGCACCTGTTTGAATGGCAGAAGTTACAGCAGAGTAAAAATATTGCATTTCTTGTGATAAAAAAATCTGGTTTTTAGAGCCAATCCAGTAATAGTTTTGCCAACTCCTCTCTTGTGCAAATGTGTTGTACCTCTGCAGCATGGATTCAGCTGAGTTCTCAGTGATGAAGGAGTAGATTTAAGACAACTCTTTTTATTTTCTTTTAGAACAACTTCTTAGTGAAAAGAAAGAATCTTGGAAGAAAAACACTCCATACCAAAAATTGGCAATCACTTCCCTGGCACATATTAAAACATCTTTTCATGATTTTCTGTTAGGGTTTCTCTCTCCCCCACAGACGAAGTCACACTAATATCAGATCCAAAAGAATTCTATTTTTTTTTTCACTTCATCTGGACACTATATAATCTAGGTTTTATTTTATTTAGTCTCCACTTTGCCTAAGGGAAGGACTGACACAATGGCAATCTTTCCATTTTATGTGCTCTTTTAAATGAAAATTGCAAGCACTTGTAATCAGAAGTGAATAACCAAAGGGCCCTGCGGTGCCCCTAGCGGGAGGCAAACCCACAGCCTGCATTCCTGGTCTCCTCAAATGCCCTGCCATGCCAGCTCTGGCCAGCCAGGCTTTCAGTTCAGCTGAAAATGCTTAAAAACCCCACTGCTAACAGAGTGGTTGGTGATGCTTAAGAGGGCAAATTATTCCAGAACAGGGATGTTAAATGGAAGTCTGCATTGTCGAGGCTGTGGTGTTTGTCCCCTGGTGTGCCTGGCCCTCAGGTGTCTCCCCACTAAGGATGGTTTGGGACGGATCGAGATGACTGGAGCCACAGGGCATCTGCAGTTGTGCAGGGGTGAGCCGACTGATCAGTCCCAGAGAAAATAGATGCTGCAGTTCCAGGCATTTGCATTTTTTTCTGACTTGTGTCCGGTGCCTCCATTTCCCTGGAAGGTGCAGACTGTATGGGATCGCCTTCGGCTTTCTCTCACCCCTGTAGCTAATCTGAGATAACTTTGTTCCCTATACAGTACGTTATTTCCAGTAGCTGATCATTATCTCCTTCCTGTGTTCTCCCCCATTCACATCATCTTCCTTTTGGGAGCAATGTCAGCAGGCAATAAATATCTGATCCACACTAAGATGCCTCCTCCTCTTCCCTGCAATTTCACTCCATTTCATCCATGTCTCTTTTTGCCTCCCTAGCCCTTCCTGTCCTACTAGGTTTCCAGATGTCCCTACTTTGTATCTCGCTCCTTCCCGTGTCTCCTGTCATTTTCTCTAAGGCGTTTAGCTTCCCTGCCTCCCCCTTTCCCAGAGGTGCTTTTCTTCTCAATCCCCTCCTGTAACTCTTGACAGTCCATCCAATCCTTCCCCGGGCGCTTCATGCCCTGAGCTCATTTGTCTTCTCATTCTTCTCCTCCCTCTCTCGCTCAATTCTTGTCTCCAAGGGAATGCAACAGAAATCAAAGAGAGTGACATTAGCAGGCAGAGCTCTTACAAGTTTACTTTGCTCCCACAGTTAAATTAATGAGCTTTCCAGCCATTCTGGAAAGGTGATGAAATTGTGCAGAATGTGAAATTATCCTTACAATAATTTAAGAGAGAGAATTGCAGGTGAAATCTATTTCCAGTGCGTGCTGCAGAGCATCATGCTTTACATATTATGCTTTTATTAAGAATGCATTCAGTGCTGTGGTTTCCTTAAAACTTTCTGATTCAGAGTAAGACACTGCCTCTGGCGTGAACTTGTTTAGTTTCTCCACGTACCAGACACATCATCTGTAACTGTCTGCATCAGGCAACAGGGAGCTGATGATATTTTGCAGTTTTTCTCTTGCTTCATCTTAATGGATTTCTTGTGGAGTCTGATTTGGAAATACTGAGATTTGGCCTGTAAAAAATCTGAAGAACTTCTACTGGGAGATTCAATTTAGAGAAAAGCAAATATTTAATCTTGATCAGATACAAATTATCTTCCAGTTAGTGTCAAATCAGTTGCTGCTTTATTGTATATTAGGATGTTTGCAATTCACTTTGCAATTTTAGCGTTTGTGTGTGATTTCCTTTCAATTTGTGGGTGTTCATTTGTTTCTATTTGTGATCATTTTTTTTAATCACATTTGTGTTTCAGTACTTTGAGTATCTAAAAAATGACTAATGTCTTTTTCTCTTGCGATTTTTGGGCTTTCATTCAAATTTGGTTTTGTTTTCTTACAAATACCAGGACTTTGTACAAAAATTGCAATCTTTTCCTTTTTTTCATCTACTCTAAACAGTATTCTCAGAATGTCTTTGGTTTCATAGCACTCTTTAGATACTGTTCTCCCTTTTACCATCAACAGCCTTCTGTACCTTCTGCTTTTACTGTTGCAGCTTCTCGCTTCATCCGTCTACAGTGTAGTGGCTATGAAGTAATTAACTATACTCTTAAATTAGATGAGTTTGTTCACATGATTTTCAAATTCCTGCACTGACTTTTGTAGCATTCTCTTGAGCCTCTGCGTGCAAACCATGTCTTACAAGTAAGCGTTGTGTCTCTAATCATTCAATATTATATTTACTCAAGCAACTTAATGCTTATTCTCTTCATTCTTAATACTTTAAGTTTTTTGGGGGGATATTTTTTATATCCAGTCCTTGTGCATATGTTTCTTTATCCACACTGCCTATCCAAATCCAGTGTGCATTATGCGTATTTCCCTCTTAAAGTACATTTCAGGGACTGTCAGGTTCTCTGTTAATCAAAACTTGGTGTTTCTCTTCCTCTCAACATGGCACAAATTGAAACTCCTGTAGGCAAAACCTTCTCTCTCTCTCTTACACAGACCCATAGACACAAGGCTGGCCAAAAAGCCATGAGCATTTTCCTCTATTCAAACCAGCTAAATATTCCCTCTGTCCTAGAGAATTTATCAAGAAAAATATGTAGCTGATGCGTTCAATTTGTGTGTGGTCACAGCAAGTTGAAGAACATTACATGTTGTAAACCTGCCCTTAGTTACATCGATGACGCAGACACACAACTATCATTCATGCAGCATGCAATTTCTGAGGAGATCTTAGTGACAGCTGTGCTTGCTGTCCATACTCACCATACTCCTTCTTTAGATAAACTGTTAAGTAGCTTTTCTAATTTCTAACTTACAGGTCCTTTTGGTGGGAATAGATGTCATGGTCTCACAATTTCCTAATCTGTAACATAACTCAGTTCCACAGTAATTTTCATAATTCCAATGCAGTATACTGTTATATAGTACAGTAGGGCTATGCTGTCAGTGTTGCACACCACACTGCTGATTCAGACTCATCCTACTAAATAATGAAGTAGATTTTGAAAATCATCTGTACCATCATATATAAATGTAAAATTTTTCACTGAACTTGTCCCCTAATTGTTCTGATATCAACAGTAAAACTGTTTTACCCTTCTGTTGATTCTTGAATGTTTGCTATTCCTTGTCTTAAAACTAGGCTAAGTAATAAAAGCAGAACTGAGAAAACCACTGAATAGGTAATACTATCAAAATAGCAACCCTGAGGAGACGTATCAACATTATTACATCTTACATGTATGAGGAAGAGCGGAGAGCTTTGATTTCTGCCAAGAAAATCAACATATGATGTCTCTGTGGTTTTGGAAAGCACTTAGAAGAATAGTTCAGCAAAAAAAAAAAAAAAAAAAAGTATTGTTCTTATTAATGACATAAATGCCTTGCATTGTCAATCCAATCAACTCTGATTACACTTCTGAAAGTATCCATTTCGCTTCTGGCTTTATCAGGAATATAATACCATTTGCTCAGTTATCCTCATGCTAATATTCTTGTCCCACGTTCGCTTTCTATGTCAAATAAAAGTCAGTGAGGCTACAGCCAAGCTCCCCATCTTTCCTCTATGCTCACTTCACTGGAAGCCAGTGCACTGAGTGGTGAAAGGCAGCTGCAGACCTCATGTCAACAGCACTTTTCAGGCACACTGTATTCAAGCACAGTCCTCTTGTTCAAGCCTCATCTTGCATCGTTTCTTTCCCCAGGCACTGCTTCTTTAATGCAAAGCACCATTCCCCTGAAATACCTAACTCTGAGGGAAGTCATTTTGGATTAGGTTGTAAAGATGGTCAGTCTTACTGAAGATTTGGTCGGCTATTATGCACACCGTTGTTTCAGTCTTTGTCCATTTTTTCCAATTCTTCTATGCTTTGTGTCCATCTGCCTTTCATATTTCTCCTTCGTGGGTCTCCTGCGGGAAAAGAGAGAGCAATTTTTTAGGCTTTTTTAGCCTGTTTTTCAAAGGAGGCTGTATTTACAAAGTCAGAAGGCTTCTACCTGTCAGTAATCAGTGGTGAATTTATTAATAAAAATTTAACATTTATTAACTTGAATTAACTCTAACTTACTAATCTAATGAAGTTGCTATAGTTTACATGGAAATTGATAATTTGGGTAGAAGGGCATGTCCTCACTGAGGCCGCATTGATGAGCTTCTTTGGGAGTGCTTAAAAGTCCTACCCAATTTCCTCCAAGGACGGGGCAGTCTGTCACTTCTGAAGTCTGCCCTGGGTGGGTCTGACTCATACACTCAAGGAACGAGAGTGCTATTCAAAATTAAGCACAGAACCTGCATCTAGCAATATTTTTACTATCCAGGCATTTTGCTGTCCTAAAAAAATACATACCTGTATAATTTTGATTTCCTTTTGCTAAATATTCAAACATAATGTAACTTACTAAGTTCATTATGTCCAAGTTGGTTATTGCGGCTCTGTAAAAACACTGATAATTTTTACCGTAAAAGAGGAGGAAAAAGGCAGCAGTATAACTTATTTGTAAACAAAATGACTGACCTGCCTCTTTTTGCATGGAAGGCCTCAGCTCTGATACTGTAAGCAGACCTTAGAGCAAGGGCCAATCTGTCATACAAAGTGCATACACACCAACTTTTCTTCTGTTTGACAGGCTATATTCCAGTATTTATATCAGCAGGGCGCACTGTTTATCTGTGTGGTGATAGATGGCGTAGGGAAGAGGGGAGGAAGCAGCCTCAGGGAGCCCTGAGATCAAAGCTGCCACGCACAGGGAGCTGCTGAAGGGTGGGTGCTCACCCTGCACACTCAGAAAAACGTGAGCCCAGACCCTGTGGGCTGGTGGGGGGTGAGTTCCCATTAGAGGGAAGTGGAAAGGCAAGGAATGGGGGTTTGAGGTCTTACAGATAAAAGCCTGGCTGTGGGTCTGTGGCTGCCTGCCTGCTGTAATGTAGTCTCATCCTCATACAAACAATCCCGATACTACTGACCTTGGATCAGCTGCACTCCATTCAAAAATGTCAGAAGTGTTCAAAAGGGACTGAAGAACAACCACAACTTCAGGAAGCTGCTGTATCCCCAGGTAATGCCTCTAAGTTCAGTCACACCACCTGTGCCCAGCTGCTCCCAGTGCACCCATCAGCATACACCAGTCATTCTGTCTGCTTCTCAGAATGCCGGCGACCCTCACGCAACCTATTTATCCAGCCTCTTGTGTGTGTAAGTACTGTGTCAGAAATGAGATGGGAATACTTAAAGGATATAAATGGCAGGTGTTTATCACAGCAAACAGTGCAGTGTTAGAAGACTGCAACATCGCACAGTCTCATGATAGTTCCAAGCAAAAAGATTTGGCATTCTTCTGGCAAAAAGTAAAGATAAAGTCATCATGATAAACTCATGTATTGCTTAATTCACTGCAGAACACTGTTCTCCCAAAACAGCTGTCTGGAAATCATTTTGGATTAGGCTGTCCGAGTGGTCAATCTTAGGGAAGTGCATGGGAACTCATGCTTGTTCTCACTTTTGTGTGATGAAGTGGAAAATGAGCATCTTGATGTGGAGAGGAGCGAGCTATGGGGGGGGTAAGGTGTTGGTTCTTCACTTGGAACTCCTTTCTAACAGACATTTTCTGCAGTGATTGTGGTTTTAGAGTGTGTCTGTTGTTTTTCAGATGACTTACAGCTGTCAAGAATGGCCTATTTAGGTGAATTCTTTGCATGTCTAGTATACTGAATGCTTGTTTACAGAAAAGACTGAATTTTAAAGTTATGACAAAACAGAAACACAAAAAAGCCTCAAATGCTGCAGTAATTATGGGAGAAGGTGAAAAGAAAAACTGCCAATCACTTTCTATCTCAGGAAATTTCTTCATTAAACATGGGCTGAAACATTCATCATGACCAGCTTCCTGAGATAAAAGACCATCACCTGAATTATGTAACAAACAGTTGGATCAGACTATCCCAGATGAAACTGGGATGAAGACCAGGAAGCAGCAGTGAGATAAAGGGACAGGAGAAGGTGACCATCTGCTCAAATTTAGGTTTGAACTTTCTGATACTTTGTTGATCTAGAGAGGACAGAGAAATCTAGCTGATATTTAACAGACTTTTAGTGCCTTTCTAGCCTCTGTATGTTATGAGTTTGTATTTTCAGTCCAATTTCCATTTTAAAATCAAGTTGTAACAGACAAGTTCCTATCCAGAGTTGGATTTCAAGCTGCATTTTACTTTAGGTCCTCAGAGCACCACTCCAAGGCCTATTTTCTGTGATTTTTATTTAGCTATATTTTGTTTGAGATCAGCTCCATCTCACTCCTCCTGTGCTTGAGATGGGATATGGAGAAGATTGAGAGAGGAGGGTGAGAGGAAAGGAAGGAGGGGTGGGGAGGCAAGAAGAAGGAGGATGTTTTTCACATACTTGCAGTTCTGTAAGATCAGTAAGAATACTGATTTTTTTTCCCGTGCTTAACAACTTTCCAAGCAAGAACAAAGAAAAAATGCCACCAGTATCAGACAATAGTTTTTAAAAAATCAAGCCGCTTGTCGTAACTTACAAGCCTACGTACATACATCAAATTGTCATTTTTGACATATTTGTTCCCTTCTTGCTATGTTTAAAAAAAAAAAAAAAAGGAATGTTAGAAAGACATACAGCTATCCCATTGTTTATGGTTCCATTGGAAAAAAAAAGATCTACCTAATACTTACTTAAAAGTAAGTTATAGTTTAATATTTTGAGTTACCTGATACATTTATACTATGTGTTAACAAGTAAGCTGTTAGGCCTTTTAAGGTCAAATACACATAGTGCAAATAAAGGAATCTGTGCATGTGGTACTTCAATTAATATTATTTTTAAGAAGGTGGATTATAAATGAGTAGTTGTGGATCCACCGATGTATGTATATCATTAAGTGTACAGATAAAAAAAAGGCAAAATTGTTTGTTTATCCATGCATGTGTAGATTATTTTCAGTTTGTTCATTCTTAGCAGGATTATTCAGTCACTCTTCAGATAAGTAAAAAGCAAAAATGCATATCAAAATTGGGAAAGCAACTCAGAAATGGAGCGAAGGGGAAAAATTATAACATTATAATGTTGAAGGTAAGGGTCTCATCCTCTCTTCTGACAGCCCACATAATGGTTAAAGATGGTTGGAACGGAGCTACCAGTAAGTTGTTGTGCTCAGTTTTTAAACAGTGAAGGACAGGAGACTTCCAGACCAGTGATGAAACGATAGAGAAAGGAATGATATACAGACTGTGTTTTTGTTTCCTCTTGATCAGTCAGGATGGCCATTCTGTCACTGGTTTAGCAAGGCAGTGATAACCAATCCAGGTGACTTAGGGTGGCTTCTCTTTTCTGCTGTTTTCAAACTGTGAAATAACTTTTGGGAGGGACAATATTTGAAGTATGTTATGAGAGGCTAGATACAACTGAAAGAAGGTATTTGCAAAATGAGAAGCATTATTTAACAGTCCTTATTCTAAATGTGAACTTAATGGCCTCAACAAGCTCAATGAGACATTTCATTGCTGGGTTAGGGTAGATTTTCTGTATGGATCAACACAGTGATTATACACCTAAACAAACCCCACAGCACGCTGCTCTGTGGAAAGTGAACTTTAAACTTCCTGTATTCACCCACCAGTAAGCAGCAAGTTGATATTAAAGGCTTCCTACAAACACCTTGAAACAAGTAGGGTAATGTTCTGTGAAATTTCTAACCACTCTTGGTAATTCAAGATGCACAGAGGAAATGCCTGACGTATGCTAAGTGAGTATGTAACAGTACTTTTCATTCCACTGTCAAAATTATACATGTCTGCATTATTAAATGCATTCATGCCTCATTTCTCTAATACTGTACCCCAACTAACAGTCTAATTCATAACCAGCCTTTAAATAAATACATGATATACATTTGCACTGTATGTCTCGTTATCTGAAATGTGCAGAAACCAGCATGCCTTGCTCTTAAACCTGACATGTTTACAACAACAGAAAAAAATATATATTTTGTTATAGGAATATGCTGCAGAGGTCTCTAGAAAAAACAGCATCAGTCATAACTTAGCTATTGGCTTTAGCAGCAACCTTTACTATACACCGCATTTCTGAAGTTCCCTATTTTATGTTGAAGTAACTTCCAATATAGAACATTAATAATGCTCTGCAAGTTGGGGTCGAGCTAAATGTGCTCCAAACTAAGAGGTACCTCACATGAAAAACAAGACTGAAATAAAGAAAGTAGGACATTTCCATCTGTGACAAGGATTACCAGGAAGTTATCACTGCAAAATGAAAAGTGTCCTACATTGACTAGAACAGAAAAATGGTCTAGGACAGAATGTAATTAAAACTAAAGAAGATGAACAATGGAAGAGAGACCTCCAGCAGGTGAAGAGCAAGAGGTCAAGAATCTGGGAAGCTGATAATCATTATCTCTGCAAATTTGTCACTGCAGAAGAGGAAAACTAGCCAGCAGTGGCAGTTCATCCTAAGGAAGGAAACAAATTTGATCTAAAGGAAAATTCAGCGAGAGGTGATGGCCCTGTCCTTACTTCTGTCTTCTGAAGTTACTGGCCAGGCAAGATCATTGAGTTAATGAGTGAAATAGGGTTTGTAGGATTAAAACACGTGAGGTAAATGCCCAGTATGCAATTTCTGGTTTAGGTTCCTGAAAAGCTAATGCGCTACCTTCTCTTGAGAAATGTAAGAGGTTGGTTGAATGGCTTTGCCTCTCACAGGAGACAGGTCAGAGGGCTCAGCAGTAACGTGTGCCTGGGCTGTGTTTGGATGAAAAGATCAAAGAGTCTGTGAAATGCCAAATATAGGTGCTTGCCCTATAGACTTTATGTCTCATTCCTTTTAGGGCAATTTCAATATTAGAACACTAGACAGATAAAAGAAATCTCTTGGTCTAAAACTGACAAACTTGGATGAATAAATTCACCTTGGCAGCCGAACGCAAGGATATTTGGATGTAATAAGAAAAATGGCACAGGAATGCCCAAAGGTATGAGTGATGTTGCTATGTTGAGCATTGATAAGGCTCTCATTGTGAGCAAAAAGATATCAAGTATAAAAGTAAGTTTAGTATTCAATGTGCTGTGAACGGGATGAAGGGCACACATTACAATCCATCACAAAATGGAGTATATAGTAAGTTGTAAAAAGACCTATTGCCTTTTTTCTGTTCCTGGCTATAAAGGTATGAGAAATGCTGTTCTTACCTTTCACATCTCATTATGTTTTACTCATCCTGCACTTGGATGCCTGGATCAACCAATCACAACTGTTAAGATTCTTTCCACTTTCAGGACGTGTTTTTAAGAACATGAGTGAGTAGCATGAATTTTGGTTGATCTTTGAATTCTCCCTTCTGCAATAATATTAGCTGCTTATCTGAGACTTGTGATGTGGTTTTATGTATTTATGAAAGAAGAGACCAGTTCAGGATCTATACGCATAAAGTGAAAAAAAATAATGTGGAAGCAAGAATGCATAAAACAAGAATAGCAATGATCAACGCTGCATGCTGTAGTGAAGCCACACTACTGAAAGCTACCGATGCATTTTGTTTTCCAACGCAAGTGCTGTACTGAGAAATATAACTTCTCATAAATATTGTGATTCAAAGGGTGAAAAGTTCTCAGAGAAAAATCTTACCTTTTATGGCTTTAGGAAGCGTTGTTCAAAACGAAAACTGGCACTTGGCTCCTGGAATCAAAGGATGCAAGTAGCTCCCAACAAGATAACTTGATACTATTTTCAGGCATTCCTCTGTAAAGTGGAAAACAGAAAAGGACACTAATTGGAGAATGTATGTTCTCCTGGGAGTTAAAGAGGGAAGTTGTGTATGAAAAGAAAATAAATTTATGGAACCAAAGGTCATTAATGGGTTTGCAGTCAAATTTATGCTCGAGGAATGTTGGTATGTTTGTTTCAGTTTCTTGCATAAAAGCAGTATCTCAGCTTGCCAAGTCTTGTACGTGAAAGAGAGCCAGAATTAGGGATAGAAACACCCTGAAAAAAAAAGAGAAAAAAAAAAAAAAAAGAAAAGAAAAAAAAAAAAGAAAAAAAAAAGAAAACTTTTATCTTGAAATATACTTAACTTCAAGAAACAAGTTTTCCCACTTGATTTCCCTGGCTTGCAGAAGGGTTTCTGATTTTCAAACATTCTTTTCTTTTTCCTGTTGCTAAGCAAAAGTCTCTCATAAACAAAGGAAATCAACTGTGTTAAAAGGATGAAAATGACTGTGTGCAAAAAGCTGTCATGTATAGAGTAAGCAAACTGGAAAAAAAACATTTCTTAACCTAATCCTTTCAGTTACAGCAATCCGTGCAGTGCTCATGATGTTCAGAGAAAGTAAGTGTACTGTGGGTTAAAGCCGTTTGGAATTAATTCTCCCAATTTAAAAATGAGTTTCTGTAGCCTCAGTGATATGCTTGGAGTTTTGGGGATTTTTTGAGGGGTTTCTCTTTCAAAGGGAGCAATTTTGATAATAATTATAAGTATGAAGTTCTAAGCACATGTTGTGGATCTGCAGGGTCGTGTTATAGGGATTTTGGGAAACTAAAGCTTCCTTTATCTTCCTCTTACATAGTTGTGGTATGGATGGGCAGCTACTGACGGCAAATACGTCTTAGGTGGGCCGAATCACCCTTTAGATGTTTTTCTCTGTTGCAGATACAGAGAGACTATATTTGTTAACTGGGAGCCTCAGTAGAACACCTAATCTGATGAATCTAGGCTGTCATACTGGAAGAGCTAATCTCAAAGGCGGCTGTGTGACCTGAAGCTTACACAATGCCTCGCCTCTGAACTCTAAGACTACAGTGGGTTTGAGCATGCTCTTGGTCTGATGTTTGAAAAACCTGATGGAATTATGCCATCATACTTGCTTGAATGTCAGAAAGTGCTGTACTTCTGATGGGATCACTTCCTTTGTCTTGTTTTTCACATACACAGAGCTGTGCATATCTTATCTGTGGTAATAATAACTGGAGTATACCTAACAAACACAGCACATGAGAAGATATGCTTTAGAAGTCCTAAGTCTATTTCAGTAACAGGCATTGTATCTACCTATTCATACATAAATGACTGTATAGTTATAAGTTTAAAGAAATGTCAGCAAAGACAGAAAATGCATCTCCTGCATGGCTTGTGCCACAGTTCTCAAGCTATGATCCACAGGAAGCTAACGAGTTGCACACGATATGATTTCCAGCTACAAACAGCTTAAGTAAGTAGAATAAATATTACCCAAGATCCTTTCTCTGAATAATACAAAGGATGTTAAGTGCTCAGGAACGGGAGTGCAAGTGCTCTGCCTGATCAGTGAATAGGAAGGGCCAAAGGAAAAGTCTGTTAAAATATCCTTTTTATGAACGCTTCTGAGAATTCCTACAATAACAGCAAAAATTTATTCTGGTCTTAGGGACTGAGTGCAGAATGATATAGAATTTAGCACTAACTAATACACTCCCTTTGAAATGGTGTGTCAGTTGTGCAGTGGGATCTGGTCACACTTCAAAGAATAATATGTGGAGCTGAGGATCCATCTGTTTGCTCTTGCTGTCACCATTGAGGCTCCTGTATGTTAAACAGTCTTTTGACTGCTTCAAAGCATGCTTGAAGGCTTTGCTGTGCCTATCCCATGCACAAAAAGTAAATGTGCCTTAGCAATATTGAGTAGCTGGTATTTTGATTCGTCTTACTTGTAAATGAAAACAATTTGTTCCATGCCATGTATCACTTAGGAACTTCTTTTTTTTTAAAGCTATGATAGTGAGGGCCGTCTGACAAATGTTACATTCCCAACTGGAGTTGTCACTAACCTTCACGGGGAAATGGAAAGAGCCATTACAGTGGACATCGAATCATCCAGCAGAGAGGAGGATGTCAGCATCACTTCCAACTTATCATCAATTGATTCCTTCTACACCATGGTTCAAGGTACTGTATACAAAGGATTTCTCAGATACTCACCTGAAAACTGCTTTCTCATAGTACAAGAGGCTCAAATCAGAAGCTTTAGAGGCCTGATGTTTGGAGGAAGAGGTGATACATGAAAAGATCTGTTCAGGGAAGGAAGGAGGTACAATAAAACTGTAATTAAATGTTTCCTAACCAAATAACTTAAGTGAGATTTGGGCTTTAAAATAATACATGAAATTCCAGCAGCCACATCCTAACAAAAGTCAGTAGTCACAGCAGGCACAGGATGAGACAAAAAATGTCTAATCAAGCAGCAGAGAATACATTTTGTGCCATACTCTAGAGGTGGGATTTTTCTTAAGTGTTTAAGTGAATTTGAAGATATGTCCCAAAGGCATTTGTGTTCTCCTGTGATACATGTGTATACGATACAGATGTTGTCATTTCTCTCACCCCTGGCTTTTATTTCCAATGTGTCTGTAGGTAAAGGTGTTACATGCATACAATGTATAAGGAGTGCAGGACAAAGAAAGACTTAACACGTGTATGTTTCTATTTGTTTTTTTGTTTTGGTTTTCTTTTGCATTTTCAGATCAGTTAAGGAACAGCTACCAGATTGGCTATGATGGCTCACTTAGAATCCTGTATGCCAGTGGCCTGGATTCACACTATCAGACGGAGCCGCATGTCTTGGCCGGCACTGCCAATCCAACAGTGGCAAAGAGAAACATGACTCTGCCAGGTGAGAATGGGCAGAACCTGGTGGAGTGGCGATTTCGGAAGGAGCAAGCCCAGGGAAAAGTCAACGTATTTGGCAGAAAGCTTAGGGTAAGTATGCAAACAGGCATGGGTGGTGTCTACTGCATTCTCACTTAATGAAAGATAAACACATTCTTGTAGATATTACTATCCAACAGCCACAGAATATTTACCATAGGTAAGCTTAGTGTCAATCTGGAAGTTGCTGCGTTTATTACTTTGTGTCTTCTTCCTTATTACTATTTTCTGTAAAATCTGCACTGGCTTTAGCCTGCAATGTCTTGAAAAGAATAAGGATAAAAAGATGATTTTTAGATTTGCCTTCACTTTTTATTTCCAGCGCTGAACTCACATACCTGATTTTAAATTGTTTTAAATTATTGTACCATAAGCCAGCAAGGGCCTAGAGTTTTCTTTCTTTGCAATTTTTAATAAAAATTGTACTAATACTTATTTCTGGTAGAGAGAGTTCAACTGCATGACTGTGTATGACATATTCCTCTAACATATGTCTTTACCATCTTGTTGGCATTTCTTCTTCCTATATAGTGAGTGAAATGTAAGTAGGAAGCAAACTGATTTATGACAGCCATTTGGTAAAGACAACATAGATTAAGTATTTAAAATAGAATTGCCAGGAAACCATTTCAAGACTACATTGGAGGTCTGACATATTAAGACTCAACTCAATTGTTTAAAATAAGGCCTAAGCAGTATGTCAGATAAAGGTAAATAATTTCAAACCACTTGACTTCTAAGATAGTAACGCACTACTTTTAAATTTAAAATTTTTATATTTTCCTTTGGGAAGGAGAGAATGCTGTCATGCATCTTACATTTCTACTACTTGCCTAATTGATTCTTCTCCAGGAAGGAAGGATGATTAGATACAACAGCTGCTGCTTAAGAACAACATACTTGTATCTAGCTATGGTAGTGGGAAGAGCAAAAGGAATCCATGCTTACCAAGCTCATCCTTATGGTTCTGGTTCATAGTTGTTTCATTACATAACAAGGTGATAGAGTACATCTATCAATTCATTCTTGAAGGAAGCCTACGAAAAAATAACAATATTGATTATATTTGGTTTTGGCACTGAAACAAATTTCCATGAGCCCAATTGTAAAAAGTAAAGCAAAATTCATCGAAATACTAAGGAGGTTAAAGAAATGTCAAGGGAAACTCTGATTTGAAAGAGTTGAAAGAAGAGGTGGGAAGCATCTAACCTGAGAGGGAGGAAGTGAAAGATCATAAATTAGTATAAAATAGTAGTAATTAAAAATGTATATACAAATGGGAGAAGTAGAACAAGCAGAGAGCATGGAGTAATAACTGATCTACCAAAAAAAAAGGGAAGATTTTTTCAAAGTAATTTACATAGGAAGAAACAACAGAAAGGTTGCTCGGGGTGGGGGGGTGGGATGTAGGAAAACAGAAAAAAAAAAACAGGATCAGAAAGAATACAGGTAACTCACAGAGTTCATCATTTCCATCTACAGATACAGCAGTAACATTTTGCTGCAAAGTAAACAAAAGTAAACAAAAAATAATGAAAATATGTAAATGTACTCATATACATATATATATATATATGCGGTATCATGGAGTGCACTCGGTGGTACTCTCTTGGGTTTCTGTTTTGTATTTATTACGCCCGCTACTAGTAGTCTTTTATTTAAAAATATATATATATATCATTTTTTTCCCCATCCCTTAACTAATAATTCTCTGTCAATCTAACTTTTGTTCAAGTCTGTTCCATGCTTGTTGTTGCAGAGGACTCTGGCAGAGGTGCTGGCACTCTTCCTCATGGAAGGGCTTTTTTAGGGCATTTGTACTGAGGCCAGACAGATCTTCACTCTCAGGTGTCTTAAAGGAGCTGGTATGAGCTCTGTCTCAGGAGGTGTACATAGAGATGACACGTAACATCCAGCAGAGAGCTCACAAGAAGGGTTTTAGCACTACCTTCAGAAAATTTTCAAGCTCCAAGCCTTGAAGAGGTCTCCAGATTTCAAATAATCTCTTAAATCTCCCTGCAAGGCACAACAATATACCCATAGTCCTCATGGGGAAATCACTGTCTGATTTCATGCTTCTCATTGAAGCACTAGAAATAAAGCCAGGAGTTAAAGCAGACCAGGGTAAGTAGACACTGTAATTAGTGAAAGAGTAGAACAGTATGCAGGTGATGTCAAGAGACTTGGTTTTGTGTCATTAAGTGTTTATTCATTGAAAAATTCCTAAGTTACTCTTTATATCATAATGAAGCCCAGAATTATCAAATATATTTGGAGTGCGCTTGTCTTAGACACAACGCAAACATTCTTAACTTTTACTATAGAAGCATTTTGGTAGCCAAGCTATTGTTAAAAAATGCTTCAGTTGAAGGCAGGACTTCAACTGACATAATTATTCTAGTCCCATACAGTCCAATGAAAGAAACTATGTCACCAAAACTGCCACCTGTATCACCAGATTATGCAAACACAGCTAGTTTCACCAAACACTCAAGTCTGAATGCAGGAGCTCTGTCAGCAGATTTTGGAAGCATGAATCTGGCTATAGAAAGAGGCATTTCCTTTCCTCTTGTATTCTGTCCTTACACAGACCAGACAGATGGAAAGTGAGAATCAAGGGATGTTATTATCCCATTTAGCAGATAAGGCAGTGAGACAGCTAGATTAAGTACTTTGCTGTAATTTACACCGGAAGGATGTGCTCAGCCAAGAAATTATCTGCAATTGCTTGGACATCTGCCTTAACCATAAAACCACCCTTCCCTCTTTGCCTGTTAGGAAATCAGAAGCGCCTCTTCACCCTTCAGCATCTAAGCCTGAAAGGCTGAGAAGAAAGTTATTAAAAATCATAATTAAATGTAAAACAGGGAAGGGAAAGAAAGGGAAGAAAAATATCAGAGAAACAAAATGGACAGAGAGAGGGAGAGATGACTGCAGGCATGCATGGGGAGAGGCTGAGAAGTAAAAGCCAGAGATAGATAGACAAGATTTAAGTATAAATTTAGGCAAATGATCAAATATAAGTGTTGAAATATTTAAACAAAAAATACCTGAAAGATATTAAAAAACAATTAAACAACTTTCAGAATTAGTCTTCTAGCATTAATTTTTCACGGTGTATTGAAGTAATATTTGATGGTTAATGTTAATGGTTAATTCACAAAGCAGGAATTCTGCATTAGATTTTTTGTGTTCTTTTCTTAGTTTTGCATGCAAATACGGTTTTTGTTCTGAAATACTAATAGTGCAATGGTTGTCATGCTAGTGATTTCATACTAAAAATGAGCACATCAACATAAGTGATGTAGATAAGACCGATAAATAGGCAGACAGGTATAAGCAGAACTGAGTATTCAGTGGAGGTTTTTTTGTATTTGTTTATAACCCATCTCCAGCACTTTAATACCTTTTATGCTACTAATAAAAAACCCAATTTATATTGGTCCTTCTTTTGGAAATGTATCAGCCTCTGGGTAAAGAACCAAAATCTATGCTATATGGATATTTACCATGCAGGCCTAAAAATGCAAAAAAACCTCCAGCCATTTCTTTGGTCAGGTATCTATTTTTTTTTCTTTGTTAAATGTTATTTAGCCATCTTTCTTCACCTCTTTAGTATGTATGCATCAAGTACTTGAATAGGAATTTTTAAAAATTCTCAATACATATAGTTATGTCTATTTGTCCTCTACCTCTCGTGTGTTAGCAAGATGCAGCATTTAAAAGTCTTAGTTATCAGTGTTTCACCCTTATCTAGAATAACTTTAAAAGGGCAAAGCAGATACTGAAATGGTTTGCAGATGAACAAAGAAACCTAGAGGTCTGTTAGAGAGCACTAAAAGCAGTTAAGAGAGGATGAGCAGAGAATTGCAAAGATGCCAGTGTGGGAAAAGAAAATCAGACATTTTCGTTTCATGCATATAAAAAATGAAAGCTGCTTCAATGAAACTGGAAGTTAACCTAAGTTAAGATACTGAAACAGCAGGGACAGATTCTAACGTAAAAGTGTTACATATAACTGTGTAACTATCCACCATCATAGCTTACATGTACTGATAAAACAGTTTTCAACATAAATATTCCTATTTCAGATTCAAATTTGTAAGTGTTTTTCAGTGATTCTGTAGTCTTCCAGTCACGTATGGCTTTAACTGGTCAGTTAACTGCGCAAAGGACAGAATCCTCTACTGGGCATTTTGGCCTCATAGCACGTTGCATCAGTGGATGGTATACTGTTTAATTTCCACCTGATCTAAAAAGGGGAATGCCTATGTTCTAAAAGCTATTTGTCATAACTTGAAAATTAAATGTGCTTTTGAAGATCTTAGTTTTGTATTTACACTTTTGATAAATACCTGCTGTGGAAGATTGGTATTCACTTCTTTCTTAGAGTATAATTGTTATGAACTTGACCAGCAATTGCTGGGAATATGACTGAAAAGTTTACTAGATAAAATTTAGACTGCTCGCAAAAGAAGTAATTTGTTCTCCAAAATGGCACTGTTTATTGCAGAAGCTTTCAGTGTGTATCTTTCAGTATTTTCTTAACATTGACTAAGTGTCAATAAAAAAAACACAAATTACACCAGGTTCCTTCACAGAATGGACCTGTTTAAAATAGATGCTAATGTAGTGCGTCACATTTATATTAAGAAGTTGTTAAAATAATTTATATACACAGCAAGTCAATCACTGAAAATGGCACTTAAATAATTGCTAGCATTTCCTGGAAATAATAGGTAGCAGATGTATGTGATTTATTGTGTCCTTTTGTTTGTTTTAAAAAGGTTAATGGCAGAAACCTCCTTTCGGTTGACTTTGATCGAACCACTAAGACAGAAAAGATCTACGACGACCACCGTAAATTCCTGCTGAGGATTGCCTATGACACGTCAGGGCACCCAACCCTGTGGCTACCAAGCAGCAAGCTGATGGCTGTCAATGTTACCTATTCATCCACGGGGCAAATAGGCAGCATACAGCGAGGGACGACTAGTGAAAAAATAGAGTATGATGGACAGGGAAGAATTGTGTCTAGAGTGTTTGCTGATGGGAAAACTTGGAGTTACACATATTTGGAGAAGGTAAAGAACAACTGAGGTTTTAAAAATGCTTTGATTTTGCTAAAATAATACAGCATCTGACTGCTCTGTGCAGTCCAAACAGATATGGCAGAAGCGTATTTGGATTATTCTAAGTATCAACATGTGGTTCCTATGGGAATGTTTTATAAAATAGATAAGCAGCCTTGCTTTAGGTGACTTAAGAATTGATGACTTTTAAAATCATTTAGGCCTAGACTAACAAGCAGCATCTACGTTTACCTTTTATCTTAACTGTTAAAATAAGGTACAGGAACTAGATCTCTGCAACGTAAGTCAATTGAAAATCATCTATTTGTAAATTCTTCACTGTTGGGTTTTTTTTCCACTATCAAGAAAAGCTCTTGTTTCTAGATAGTTAAAGCTGTCAGTTTACGCTTGCTCTTTGCTGTAGATAGAAAAAAACAGGCAAAAATCTGGAATCTTCCTTATATATAACGATATCTCAATGAGAAGTTCTTCCTCTAGAAACAGCTGTGAAAATCTCCCTTCTGAGATCTCATGCCTGCTGTGCAAAAACAGAATCCATTTCTTTGTGGGATTTAAATGTATTTCTATTGAATCTGCTGCTCGGCAAATACTGTTTACTAGACATTACAGACATAATTTAATCAAGACCTACGATACATAATAGCCACACATCAGAAAAATGTCAGAATAATCCCGGGTGGCTCCTTCTGATATAAATAATCAAACAATTGTTTTGCCTATGTCTTAAGCACTTATGGAACAAGAACACGGTATTCAGGGATCCCAGGCTGTTCAAATTCTTCAAAATCATCTCTAATCGTAGGGAAGAAATTGTATCTCCCATATGTTGTTCTCCTCGTGAGTTAATGGCTCTAAGACAGTTTTACTTCTTCCCATATTAAACATGACTTATCTGAATCCATTGACAATCTGCTGTTTAGCTGTGAGTGCTTGATAAAAGTGATACAGTCATAACAAGTAGCAAATTATGAATGTCGAACTACTAATTACAGAACCCCTTACAATTAAGCATCCAAGTAAATTAGGCAGGGAGATGTTAACAACATGTAAGGTCAAGGATAACTCAATTAAAGAGGAGATAAATTTTCCCAAGTGGGAATGTCACATTTTTGCGAAGAAATAGTATCTGTGTATGGCAGGGGGATGCAAGGAGGTACTCCACCATTTGTCACATGGTAAAAATCTGTTCTTAATTTTCAGTCAATGGTTCTTCTGCTTCATAGCCAACGGCAGTATATCTTTGAATATGATTTGCTGGATCGGCTTTCTGCTGTCACCATGCCCAGCGTTGCTCGTCATACCATGCAAACTATTCGCTCCATTGGTTATTACCGGAATATATACAACCCCCCTGAAAGTAATGCTTCTGTTATCATGGACTACAATGAAGAAGGGCAGCTCCTTCAGA